ATTACATACCTTTCTCAGGCCTAGTGAGAACACTAGGGAATGGTGGGGATGAAGACTTGAAATATTCTGAAGATGTGTGACAAATTCCAAATATTCCATCTTCCTTGGAAGATCTTCTTTCAGTCCTCTTAGAAGATGCTGGATCAAACTAGCTTTGGAACTGGCCATTGTGGGGATGAGAGCAGCTAGGTGGCACAGTGGATAGAGCACTGGACCTGTAGTCAGGAAGACCTGAGTTCAAATTTGACCTCAGACACTTACTACCTGTGTGACCTTAGGCAAGTCATCTAACCCTGTTTGTCCCAGTTTCCTCATCTGCACAATGGAAGGAAATGGCAAAACCACTCCAGTCTCTTTGACAAGAAAACCCCAAATGGGGTCACTGAGTCAGTCACAACTGAACAACATTGTTGGGATGAGCCATGTTAGTGCTACCCTTTTCTTCGAGATATTGGCCCTGATAAAGCCCCTAATCTGAATATAGTACACTTTCCCATCTTGTTCATTAACTACAGAAACAACATAGCCAATCTGGTAATATACTCCCTTGTGGAATATCGATTCTGCGGCAGAGATGGTGGAAGCTGCTTCAGGAGCCTTGAAGAGCTTCTGCCGTGCCCCCTGCTGCGCCCCATCCTTCCGCCACTGCCCTGCGCGCACCCCCTTTCCTTCCCCCCCCCCTCCCCCCCCCCCCCCCGGTACACTGGTGGCAGAGGATCTCCCTCTGTGAGCCCTTGTTCCACAGGGATTATAGGGAAAGTAACTGCATGTGGGTTTCTGGCCCGGCTGTGTGGGCGGCCCTCGGAGCCTCAGTTACGCGGCTACCCAGTGGAAGTCAATAAGGAGCGGAGGCGGGCTGGCCTCCGAGGCAATATTTCTTCATAGATTATCTGGACCTCTTTAGCAGGTCTGGAAGCCTCATTTCCGTCTTTTACTAGTTTCTTTCCCATTGATTTATCTGTTTATGCTTAGAGATTGCTGTTCTTGTTTGTTTTTGGAAGTTTTTAATTGCTTTCTTCTTTTTAAAAATAATTTATTTTTAGTTTTCAGCCTTCACTTCCATAAAATTTTGAGTTTTAAATTTTCTACCCCTCTCTCCTTCCCCCCCCGCCCCCAAGACAGCATGCGATCTCATTTTCCCATTAGTCATGATGTACAGAAGAATTAGAACTAATGGGAGGAACCATGAGAATGAAGCAATAAAACAAAACTACAAAGGAAAAGGAGAGCAAATAGTATTCTTTCATCTGCATTCAGACCCCATGGTTCTTTCTGTGGATGTGGATAGCAATTTCCATCGTGAGTCTTTTGGAGTTGTCTTGAATCCTTGTGTTGCTAAGAATAGATGAGTCTATCAAAGTTAGTCATCGCACAACGTGGCTTCTACTGGGTACAACGTTCTCCTGCTTCTGCTCACTTCACTCAGCATCAGTCCATACAAGTCTTTCCAGGTTTTTCTGAGGTCTGCCTGCTCGTCATTTCTTATAGCACATTAGTATTCCATTATATTCATATATCACAGCTTGTTCAGCCATTCTCCAATTGATGGGCATCCTCTCAATTTCCAATTCTTTGCCACCACAAAAAGAGCTGCTATATATGTTTTTGTACATGTGGGTCCTTTTCCTGTTTTTATGATCCCTTTGGGACACAGTCCTAGAAGTGCTATTGCTGGGTCAAAGGGTATACACAATTTTATATCCTTTTGGACATAGGTTCCAAATTGCTCTCCAGAATGGTTGGATCAGTTCACAACTCCACCAACAATGCATTAATGTTCCAATTTTCCCACATCTCCAACATTTATCCATGTCCTGTTTTGTCATGTTAGCAAAATGCTTTCTTCTGTTTCTTACATTGTCATAGTTATCCCCAAGTATCTGTCCCCCTCTTAGTTCCCAGAGAGCTATGCCAGATAGCAAATGGTTGTTTGGTTTTTTTAGAGAGGACCCCCCCCCCCCAAGCATAACTGATCAATACACTGAAAAAGCTCAGAACCATGTGCAATGTGTAACACCTGTGGGTCTCCTGCCTCCTTGGAAGGCTGGGTTGGGGGTGACCTCTCATACCTCTACATTCAAGTGCTACTGATCTTCATACTTTTGTTACATTTACTCTTATTTCATTGAGTTTTGATTTTTTTGGTGTGCTGTTGTTCTTTCCAGTTACATTGTTGTAGTTGTTATGCAGATTATTTTCTTGTCTCTGTTTAATTCACTCCACATCAATCCATATAGATCTTTCCATGCTTCTCTAATCATCACAGGCATCATTTTTTATAACACAGTAGTAGTCCATTTCATTCTTATACTACAATTTGTTTAACCATTCCCCAATTGATGGAAATTGGCTTCCCCCCCCCCAATCTTTAGCTGTCATCAAAAAAAAAAGTTGCTATAAATATTTGAGAATATATGAGGACTTTCTTTTTATTGGTGACTTTCTTGGGGTATAAGCACAGTAATGGAGTATCTGGTTCAAAGAGTATCGTCATTTTAGGCACTTTGAATAATTCCAAATAGCTTCTCAAAATGGTGGTACCACTTCACAGCTCTGCCAACAACGTATTAGTGTGCCTGTTGTTCCTCAACTCCTTCAGCATTGACTATTGCCATTTTTGCCAATTCACAAGGCATAAAGGGAAACCTCAGCACTGTTTTGATTTGTGTTTCTCTTATTATTAGTTATATAGTGCATTCGTTCATGTTGTAGTGTATATTTTGTAATTCTTCCTTTGAGAGCTGTTTGTTTATATCCTTTGATCATTTATCTATTGGGAAATAGCTTATATACATATATAACATATGATTATATGTATGTATGTATATATGTATGTATAGATGTGTGTATATTACATACTTACTAGACATACCCATGGCAGCGTATGGAATGTAAAACATGCATTATATGTGAACAGCCACATCATGCAAAAGAAATTATGTATGTGATGTATGTGACAGAGGTTATCACGCTTTTTGTGTAGGGTTCAGTGCTATTCCATCAGGTTGCCGGATTTGTGATTTTTGTCAAAGAGCTCCCCTAACACCCAGGAGAGGGGGCAGAAGGGGAAAAACCAGTAAGGAGGGACAAAATTACAATTTTTGCCCTGATACTGTTATTTACATTGTGAAAATTAATTTACTACTTTATGAAACACTTCCTCATATTGTTGTCAATAAAGCATTTAAAATTTTTAACTTAAAAATATATTTGACATATAATTACATATGATACACTATATATTTATGTGATATATGTGATCATATATGATAAAGTCATATATCATAATTACCATCATGTTATATTATGTTATATTAATGTCAACTGGACAGCAACAGCCTCTAACTCGTGGGTGTCCGGAACGAACAGAGCAGGCTAGAGATAGGAGAGTCAGGAATCAAACTTTAATTTCAAAGTGAGGGAAATGGCCTGTAATCAAGGACACTTGATAGAACCCTACTGTGTGGGGGGAGACCTCAATACTTATACCGACAGCTGCACAGTAAGCTGTAACCCTGACAGGGCAGCAACAGTGTCACAACTTTGATTCATAACAGGGCATCATGACCAGAAACAAATCTGGGATTTTGCTGTAGCTGAGATCATCCAGAGGATGAATACAAAGGATTGTTGTTATGCCAAGCTTGGGGCACAGCTGGCTTGCTGGGCCTTAGCTCTGGAAAACAGGGTGTCTTCTAATATCTTGACATTATGTACATATACATACATACACACACACACATGCACATATCTACACACATACACATTGTGTGTGTGTATATGTATATATATATATACATATATATATATATGTATATATATATACATATACACACACACACACACGTTTCTATAATGATTCTATAATGATCAGGTCAAATGCCACCTTTTACGTTAAAGCCTTTCCTATCCCCCCAGATCCTAGCTTCCTTCCCTCTAGAAATATTTACATTATATTTTATCTTATTTATCCTTATACACATGTTGGCTCTTCTAGTGGAATATACGGTCCTTGAGGGCAGAAGGTGTTTTATTTTTGTGTCTTTAGTATATAGTGTAATGTCTGGTACACTGTGGTTGTTCAGTCATTTCAGTTATGTCTGAGTCTTCCTGACCCCATTTGGGGTTTTCATGGCAGAGATACTGGAATGGTTTGCCATTTCCTTCCCCAGTCTATCGTACAGATGAGGAAACTGAAGCAAACAGGGTTAAGTGACTTGCCCAGTCACACAGCTTCTAAGTATCAGAGGCCACATTTGAACTCGGGAAGTCTTCCTGACTCTGGGCCTGACACTCTTCCCACTACACCACCTAGTTGTCTGATCTGGTACATAGTAGATGCTTAATAAAAGTTTGAAAATCCTCAGAGGGTATGATCTCCAGGCCCTTCACCATCCTGGTTGGTCTCTGGACATTGTCTAGTCTATCACTGTTCTTAAAACTTGATAACCAGAATTGAACCCACACCCAAAATGTGGTCTAAAAAAGTGTATATATACATTGGAAATCTCAAAAATTACTGAATGCACAGGTAGGACTTTTAAGGCTGCTGATTAATATAACAGGACTATTACAGCTTAATAGGAAAAACACTGTTCCATTTCTTAATCTGGAGAATGCCAGGCAAAAAAGAACTCCAACTGCCTTTCCCTGGCTGTGAAAAAATCTTTTAAAATCTGACCAGTCAGAGAATATTGAGGAAGAAAACACCTCAGTTCTCTTACAATCTACATGATCATCTCTCAACTGTGATTTGGAAGAAAGTAACGTAGTACATTTTATGAAGACTAAAAATAAAACAAAGGTTCTATACCCAAGCATAACATGTTATGATACACCCTAAATTCTAATTACTCAGACAACAGCCAAATAAACACTCAACAAATAAAATCAGAATTAAATGCCAGTGCATTTTTAACAACTGGTATCTGTGTACATCTTTAACATTTCATGCTGCTTATGCTTCAAATATACATAAAAACCAGAGAACGCTGAAGTCCTTGCTATGTTTTGAGGAAATTTAATTGGATCAGTTTGATGACAATAATATTTAATTTTTATTGACATTTATACAAATAGTTGCATAGAATACTTTTGCAAACCATATTTATTTTATCATGCACAATATTTAGCTAAATCTTAAACTGCAGGTATATAGCTTTGTAACATGTCAAAGTGCAGTGCACCAATTTAATATAAAATTAGTACTGTCAAATATATTCTTATTCAGATATCAAATTTCACTTTTTAAAGTACATTCAAATTCAAGCATTAAACCACAGTGATTATTATTGTTTTAAATTTTTAAAAACACCTGAAAGTTTTATTTATGTAATCTTAAAACTGGAAGAATCACTACAAATAAAACCTAGGTAGTTTCAATTTAGGAAAAAAATTCTATTTATTCATTTCACTGTAAGACAGCAGTCTACTATTAACTTTACATATGGCACTGTCCCCCAAAATGAGTTTCCTTGGTATAGGAGGATGGCAAATCTTATAACACTGGCTATTAATTAGCTAACATTATTTAACTGCTAATTTTATACATCAAGATATGTAACATCACAAAGACATTCTCATTTAAAAAAAGTGCTGCATGTAGTCACCCCACCTGTTAACAGACCAATTAACACTGTCACAATAAGGCTTTCTTTCCACCATTAGATTAAAAGCTCTTTGTTATGATACTAAATCTTGTTTTTAAACAAAATTAGTCTTCCTCAATGAACAAAAGTATTTTAAGGTATATTACATAAAATCACCCTGCTATCCTTCATCACTTTCCTTCTGTACATTTTTTGAGGCCTTATGCTTTTCCAGTGGGAGATAAATAATTAAGACAGACTTTCGTTTGATATCTAGTGTTGGAACTGTGGAGCCCAGATTTTGGTGCTCACGGCATCCTGCTGCAATCCATCACCATGATCATATCATAGCTGCACTGAGAGTGCTGACTGTTAAATGACATCAGAAGAGTTGAATTTGATGATATCCCTTGGTAGCCTGTTGAACAGGTTTTTCTTCACTAGATGTTGCTATTTAGCAGTGGTTGGGCAACAACCTACTTAGTCTTTAAACTCTTTCCACTGAAAAACTGTTCATTCTTGCAACCATTTCCTGCATGGCCATTTAATTTTTCTTCAGTTATTGCCTTCATATAATTTAGTGGTCCCTTGCCTTCAAAAGCAGAAGGATACTTGAAAGAGCCTCCAATTCTATCCCACAGTGTGAAATATTGGCCATAGTTATAGTCAAAGTAGAGGTGGTGATCCGTGTGATGGGCTGAGCCATTAATAACTGCTTCTAAGAATTTTGGAACTCGGAAATCACCATCATGAATGGAAATTGTCCAGAAGTTCACAAAGATGTACAGGCCTAAATAGACCACTTTGTGTAATGGAAAGATGAAAGGGTACACATGATATGGTAGACTCTGAAGGAAGCCATCCACTGGGTGAAAAGCATGACTTGCAAATGGTGTAGTAATCTTCCAAATGTGATGTGGCTTGTGTAGATGCTACAGAAGGAAAAGGATGCCATTATCAAAAAAATAACTTTAATCTGCAAAATGTAATTTTTCATATAGAATAGACTTACAGATGAAAAGGATCTCAGAGATCATCTAGTTCAACTCTCTTACTTTACAAAGGAAGAAAATGAAACTCAGGGTTAAATGACTTGCCCAAAGCTATATAATATGAATTTAGATATATAGGTAAAAAATGATGCCTACATGGAGAATCACTTTCAAAATCAGTCCAAATTTAACATCCAAAACTCTTGCTATTGAACAAAATTAATTTTTTAAACTCTTAAAAATGTCCATCTTAAAAAAAATCCCTTTCTAGTGCCACATAGATTCATCCAAACAAAAAGATAAATGGGGCTTGTTAAGAGGTGGCCACTAAACAATCCGATTTAGGGAAAAGTTTTGGAAATAATTACATATATATTGATATAATGATGAAGTTATATAGCAGTATTTTTCCACTTTGCCTAGAATAACTCTACCTTATATACAAGTTTATGATGAAGGCCCCGATGAATCCAGTAGATTGCCATGTCAGTGAAGAAGAGGAACGATAACATACTAAAAATAACTCCAGGCCAACCTAGAATATGGAGACAAAGAGAGTAGCAGAATCAAATTTAAGCTTATAGTTCAAGATCAAAAGTCACTTTTCAGGTGTTCATCTAAGAACAAAATATAGTCTTGAAGTCTCATAGAGTAACTGATTATAATATAAAATAGCCTCCTTGTAATTTTCTAGAAATCCATGATTATTTCTTCCCTTCATTTTAGTATCATTTATTTCTCTATTCTCTTTCTCTGAAGGAAGCGAAATATATGACACTTCAATATAAATCTACTCAAAGATGTTAGATGCCTTTTTTGATAAATAGCTAATTATTTGACAGACGGATCTAAGGATGTTATTTATTCTTATCCATTCCCTTGCGCCCACTCACCTTATGCCACCCTTCTTTAATGTCTTTCCAATTTATCTTTTTCTTTCTATGAGCTTATCACATCATACCTAGATTATTATAACATCTTCTTAGTCATCCTGCCTTCTAATACTGTCAGGTTAATATTAAAAAAAACCCCAACACTTCACTGAAGAATTTTGAATACTTTTCTACCGACAATCAGATACATAAAATAGTTTTGTCTGTGACTTGGATGAAAACTCGATGGGGTACATAACTATCAAATCTATAGAAAAAACTGAGGTTGGAAGGTGTTAATATTTTAGATGACAAAATTGTATTTTAAAAAAAAAGCTTTATAGGCTAAAACTCTCAGGGTTCCAGGGAGTACAGTGAGGTGGGCAAATATGAAGGTGTAGGGCTATGGTGAATGGGACTAAGAACATGTACAGTTGGGGATAGAGAATGGGGTTTGTACATCAGTAGCTGGGAGTTCAGAATTGCTAAGATGCGTACAACATAAAGGGACAGAAGTATGGTAACCATTGAGGAGTGAGTACATGCAGAGTATCAGTGACTGGAGAGAGATCCATTAAGGGTTGCATCTTATAAGGCTTCAGGAGCTGGTGGTGCCTAACCTGCCCTGAAGAAGACCCTGGGGTGTGAGAGGTAGGGAGTCTTGTGCTGGAGTGGGCCTGAAAAGGCCTAGGAGGCCACGGAAGCCAAGAAGTGAATGTTGCTGCCTAGGCCCAGAAGAAATCAGGAGTCAAGCAATGAGGGTCCAGGTGAAAAAGACCTAGTGGGTTAAGGTGGTGATGGAGATGGCCCAAGGAGACAGGAGCCCAGTGGCCTTTCTTGTTCCCTGTGGTTCATATGAAAAAGACCCAGGGAATTCAATGGAGAATAAATTCAATCTAAGTCAACTTTATGATATGACAGACAAAATGGTGAATTTATTTTTAGGCTTCCTTAAGAGAAGCAGTGTGTCCAAAATAGGCAAAATGACAATCCCTAATCAGAACACATTTGGAGTACTGTGTTCAGTTCTGGGTGCTACATTTCAATAGGGCTACTGACAAAAGAAGGGATCTAGAGAATGCTGACTCAGACTGTTAAAAAAAAAATCTAAAAACTATGCCCACATGAGGAACAAAGGAAAGTAATTAATAGTACTGTAGTGTGAAGAAGAGGAGGATCAGAGTGAATATAGCTACTGTCTTACAATCTTTACAGGGTTGTTTTGTGGAAGAAATGGTTCCAAAAGACAAAACTAGAACCAATGGGTAGAAGTTATAGGGAGGCAAAATTTCAGTTCAATATAAAGAACTTCTGAACAACTGGGCTATCCAACAATGGATTGCACTGCCTTGCAGAGCAGTAAGAGCTCTACTAATCAATCAATCAATCAACAAGCACTTATTAAGAACCTTTGCAAAGACAAGAATGAAACAGTAATTGCCCTCAAGAAACTTAGGTTATGTCACTGGAGGTATTCTAGCACAGGCAGCATAATCATTTGGCAGGGATATTCTTTATTTTTTATTTTTTAAGGCAATTGAGGCTAAGTAACTTGCCCACGGTCACACAGCTAGTAAGTGTGAAGTGTTTGGTCTGAGGCTGAATTTGAACTCAAGTCCTCCTGACTTCAGGGTCGGTGCTCTATCCACTGCACCACATAGCTGCCCCTGGTAGGGATGTTCTAGAGGGGATTCAGGATTCAGAAAAAAGGTTGAATTAGATAACCTTTGAGGTATGTTCTAACTCAGATTTTATCAATAAAATATTCAGCCTAACATTCGTGACACTCTACAACATGGCCTCTATGTTTCCAACTTTTATCCCTTAAGCACTAAGCCCCTGCTATAGCCTGGCCAGTTCGCTCGATGTTGTGTCTCCACAGTTTTACTCATACTCTTTTATCTGTATGAAAAGCTCTCTCCACCTATATAAATCCTACTCATTTTTCAAAGCATAGCTCAAAGCTTTTAATATCATTCCATCCTACTGTAATCTCTCCATCCCCTTAACTTCTAATAGAGCTATTTTCCATACTACTACTTTGGTACTTAAACCAAGTACTGCCTTGATAAACTTTTGCCACATCTTTTATGTACCCCTTACTGACTACACAGATCATAAGGTCCTCATGGGCAGAGATTGCCTTTGAATAGTTTTCCATTGTCATACACATACAATTTGCTTCTTGCAAGTGCTATTGCTAAGTGTAAATATTTCTATTTCTCATAATTCTGTATGCAAAATATCTAGATTAACCTAGGCATCTCAAATTTTGCTGATCAATACAGAAGTGCTTTTAGGCCCTTTCACCAAAGTGTCAGGTCTCTTTATGCAACTTAATAACCATTACTGTTTAGAAAGAAAATAAAAATTTAGCAGTAATTCTTTACGGTGTCAGCAGTGCCCTTGGGTGTATTTTCCATTTAACTTATTTCAGGTTTGGTGACTTCATCTTTTTTCTTAAAATAATCTCAATGGAATTAACAAATGTTATGCTAAGGAGGCAATGTAGCCTTTAAAAGACATTTGTGTATATTCAGATTCTTTTCTTGACACTCAAATTGTTTACTCACCATATGGAGAATCTTCTATGTTGTCATACAGTTTGCTGTAACCTCTAATCTCTACCAGAAACAATAAAACTGTGGGAATGCTTATCCATGGCAGTGCTTGGACAGTATACTTAATCTCTCGATATACTTGGTTCTGAAATTCAAATTTTAAATATTAAAACTGGATCCATTATTTGTTTTCAATGTGCATTATCTCTAGTAATATAGATATATAACTACTTCTAGTTGTGGTTTAAAGATCTCTTTTATTAGTGTCACTTTATTTATTTTTAGCCCAAACCATTTTATATTATAAATTTATTATGCTTGTATGTGAGTGTGTAAAAGAGAGAGAGGAAGAGGAAAGAGATGGGAAAGAGAAGAGGAAGAAAAGAGAGGGGTGCAGAAAGACAGAGGGAGACACAGAGACAAAGGGGGAGAGAGAAAGAAAGAGAGAGAGAGAGAGAGAGAGAGAGAGAGAGAGAGAGAGAGAGAGAGAGAGAGGTGTGTACAAACAAAAGAATATTTCCTTAACACACATGCCTAATTTTAATTTCTCAGAGACATTCTCTTCCTTAAAATATCCCTACTGGACATTGCCATTTCAGGAACGTGCAATGAATACAATAAAAATTCTCCTTCTACCAGCTTTACCATACAACTCCTTAATGTTTGCAATTCTAACTCTGCAATAATTGAGAACAAGGGAACTGAAATATGAAAGCGATCAAAAACAATTCAAAAAATTCTAAATTCTATAAGCAGTTAGGTGGTACAGTGGATAGAGCCCCAAGCCTAGAATTATGAATTTATTGTTGTTTTGTCCTTTCAGTTGAGTCCAACTTGTCATGAACCCATTTGGGGTTTTCTTGGCAAAGATACTGGAGTGATTTGCCATTTCCTTCTCCAGCTCATTTTGTGAGGAAACTGGGGCAAACAGGGTTAAGTAACTTGCCCAGGTTAATGGAGCTAGTATCTGAGACTGGATTTGAACTCAGATCTTCCAGGCTTGGCACCATATCCATTGTACCACCTAGCTATTCTAGTCAGAGAGAGGGAGACTGGAGTTCAAATCCTGCCTCAGACACTTACTGTATGTCCCTGGACAAAGTCACTTAACCTGTCTTCCTCATTTCCTTCATATATAAATGGGGAAAATAACAGCATTTACCTCCCAAGGTTGCATCAAGGATCAAGTGAGATAAAATAATTGTAAACTCTGCAAACTTTAAAGTACCTTATAAATGAAAGCTATTAATAATAATAATAACAATAAAAATTAACTCGTCTATTTCCTCTGTTCTGCTTAAGGATAATACACTAAAGACCATAATTAGCTTATGAAAGAAAAAAAGCATACTATTCATAAGGCTAGACCAACAAATCAAATTACATTTACTAATCTACATACCACCCTGTTAAAAAAATTCATTCATAGGCCAGAAACAATAAATTTAATCTAATTCCTACCCCCATCCCCATACTTTAACTGATATATAGCATATAGGAAAAATGAAATGCTTACCTCTAAAAATAGTGGATGTTTCTTCAATGAGTGATCAAAGATAAAATAATAGCTCAGAGTTGCAAAAAAGAAATATAAAATGAAAGCACCAAGATTTGTTACAACTAGAAGACTGAGAGACTGTCGGATGATTTCATCCTCTGGCCACGTACTTGGATATACATACGGTGTGAAAAAATAGTAATCTGCAATATTCAGTATAAGATCCATTGTGACACCTGAATGACAAACAGATAAAAAGGCTTGTATTTCCTTCAACAAGAATCATTAGAATACTTGATGACTTTTATAAACACAGAACTGGTACCAGAGCTTTTGCTGCTGAAGTAGATGAATTTAAATTCACGCCACTGAATTTGGAGCCCTTTGTGCCAAAGCTTTCAAACTCCTTCTAAGGCTGAGTTCCAGCGATGGGCCCTCCAGCTTCAGTGGTGAGCACTCTGATTTTAGGAGCACAAGCTCTGAAGGCACGGGCTGTGGTTTTAAAAATACTGCTTTTTGGTAGATGCTCTAAGACTCAAAAGGTGCTATGGCTAGTCATAAGAGCTAGGAGCAAGGAAGTTACCTCTCATTGCCAAGGTAGGAGCAAAGATGTGTGTGTGTTACGTTTAAACTCTATAATACCCTCAGAGTACTATTATTCAGGTCCATTATTTTTTCTCTCTATTACCTAACCTTCCAAAGTTGTGTAACTCACTGCTTCTACAGCCTTGCAATCCAGTTTCTGCCCAACAGCTCCCTTTCAAAACTGCTCCGAATATCTTTCATGACCTCTTTACCACCAAATGCAATGGCATTTTAAAAATTCATGTTCTTATATATTCTGTTATTTTTGATACTGTTGACAAATGGTATCAAACTCAAACAGAAACCGGAACCACTAATGTGTATGTAATAGTGTAATATACACTAATGGTATATGTAAGGATTTCTGTGGGCTGCATATTGACTTAGAAAACCACATATTAATATTATCTGTGTTCTATTGATTTTGTTAAATATTTCCTATTTACATTTTAATCTGGTTTGGGCCACACTCAGGAATGCCACATGGGGACACAGCTGTACTATAGATAATCTCTTTCTTTGACTTCACTGACACTGCACTGTTGTTTCCTCAATACTTCGACTGTTTGGTTTCCTTTGCTGTCTCATCCTCCCATTTCTTAAATATGGGTACCTTCTAAGGTTTGGTCTTTAGCTACCTTCTCTAAACATACAACCCCCTCCTCCGCCACCTCATCCACTCTTATAGCTTTAGTTACGTGTGCAGATGACTCCTCTCAACTCTAAATACATTCACCAAGTCCTTGCCAAAAATTCTAGTCCTTTATCACCAACTGCCCTGCTGGAGAGCTACCTGATATCCTTGTCAGCACTCCAAATTTTATCAGCCTAAAATTAATTCTATGAAACATGCCCCTACCATTAACACATATATTTCTTTTGATGCTACTACCATTTGGGCTCAGTCACTCAGGAAACAACAAAACATTCCCCACCTTTTTTCCCTCAAATTAAACTTGTAGTTTTATTCATGTTTGATTTTTAATGTGTCAGAAAATTGAAATGAGGGGTGGGGCCCACGGGTGCTAGGAGTTCTTCTGGATGCCTGAGGAGGGTAGTAGAGCCCTGTCCAACTCCTATCCCTTCTCCCACTAAAAAGAGAGGGGGGAGGGTTTCCTGGTCCCCTGCTGGAGGAAAGAGTGGTGCTAGGTGAGATACAGAGAACCAGGGGGCCAGAGAGGATAGTTAGGGAGAAGTGGCTGAAGATTTTTTCCAAAATCCAGAATCCACAGCTCTCTGCTTTCAGATTAAATAATAAACCTTGGTTATCATTTTCACTCTTCCTTCTGCTTCCCAATCATCTGCCAAGTCCTAATAATTTTATCTTTCTTTTCCCTTCTTTCTTCTACTGAACATCTCTGATAACATTGGTCATACACTCAGAAACCTTCAGTGGCTCCTTACTACCAACTGAATAAAATATAAACCCATCCTGACATTCAAGTTGCTATATAATCTGGGCCCAATATACTTTTCCAGTTTTTTTCCCTGACACTCTAAGACTGCACGAAAATACCCCTTTGCCTGGAGGGGATACTTTCTCTCTGCCGCTTAGAGGGATATATTAAAATTTCTCTCTTCCTTAAAGTGACAAGTCTTGTTCCAACTCTTTTAGGACACTGACTCCTCCTAGCTGAAAGTGATCTTTCCCTCACATTTCTCATATCAGTTTATTTGGAACTCTTCCCTGTCCTTATCACATTCTGCTTTATAGCATAGCTTATTTGCTTAAGTGTTTTATTTCCTCTTGTAAACTGCTAAGGATATGATGTAATGGTATACGATTTCACCTAGTATTCAATATGCATTTATTAAGCAACCACTATGTGTCAGGCATTGTGCTAAGTGCTGGGAATATAAAGTTTACAATCTAATCAAGACCTAGCTAAAATACCACCTTCTATAGGAATACAAAATTTACAATCTAATGGAGGAAATTAGTAAACAAAAATGTATAAACAAGCTAAATATAGGATAAATATGAAAAAAATTAACAGGGAAACACCAGAATTAAGAGGGATTGGGAAAGACTTCCTATAGAAGGTGGTATTTTAGCTAGGTCTTGAAGAAAGCCAGGAGGCAAAGATTAGTAGGTATTCCAGGCATGCGGGACATTTAGAAAAAAGGCCCAGAGCCAAGAGATGATATGTATTGTTGAAGAAGAGAAAGACCAACGTCACTAGATCAGAATACATGAGGGTGGGGAAGGATAAGGTGTAAGAAAACCGGAAGGAAAGGGGATAGGTTATGAAGGCACTGAATGACAAACAGAAGGTTTTATATTTGATCCTGCAGATGACTGGAAACCACCGAAGTCTGAGGGTGGGGGCGAGGTGGTGCTATGACTGGACTGGCACTTCTGGAAAATCACTTTGGCAGCTGAATGGAGGATGAATGGAGAAGGCTTTTGTAACAGGGTGTAGGTGATGAGGGCTTGCACCAGGGTGGTGCCAGGATCAAAGGAAAGGAACTGTATTCAAGAGATGTCGAAAAGGTGAAATCAAAATACCTTGGCAAGAGATTGGACAGTCAAATGAGAGATAGTGAGGAACTGAGAAAGACATCCTGGAGGGTGGTAATGCCCTTGACTGTAACAGGCAAGATTAGAAGGGTTTAGGGGACAAGACAGAGTTGTTTTGGCTATGCTGAGTTTAAAACATCCAGTTCAAGATGTCTGAAAGGCAGTTGTAGATGCAAAACCAGAGGTCAGTAGAGAGGCTGGCGCTGGATAGGGAGACTTGAGAATCATCAGCATACAGGTAATTAAATAGGAGCTGATGAGATTACCAAGTAGCAAAGAAGAAAAGGCACAGGGAAGAATCCTGTAGGACACTCATGATTAGTAGGCATGACTTGGATGAGGATCCAGCAAAGTAGACTGAGAAGAACAGTCAGAAAGGTAGGAGAATAAGGACAGAGTCCTGTCCTAAAAACCTAGAGAAGAGAATAACATGGAGGAAAGGATGATTGATACTGTCAAAAGCTGCAGAGAAGTCAGGAAAAATGAGGATTGAGGAAAGGCTACTAGATTTGGCAATTAGGAAGTCATTGTTAACTTTGAAGAGAGACGTTTCAGTTGAATGATGAGGTCAGAAGCTGGACTGGAGGGAGTTAAGAGAGGAAATGGAGGTACCTATTTTAGACAGTTTTTAAAAGGATTTTGACCAGAAGAGGCAAGAGATATATAGAATGACAGCTGGGATGGAAGGCTCAAGTGAAAATTTCTTTTTTCCTTTTTTTCCACATTTACCCAAACAGTATTTTATTTTTTCCAATTACATGTAAAGATAGTTTTCAACATTCACATTTATAAGATTTTTAGTTCCAAACTTTTTTCTCCCTCCCTCCTCTTCCCCCTCCCCTAAGGCAGCAAGCAGTCTGGTATACGCTATACATGTACAAACATATTAAACATATTTCCATATTAGTCATGTTGTGAAAGAAGAATTAGAACAAAAGGGAAAAACCACAAGAAAGAAAAAACAAACAAAAGAGAGAAAATAGTATGTTACGATCTGCATTCAGACTCTATAGTTTTTTCTCTGGCTGTGGATAGCATTTTTTATCATGAGTCTTTTGGAATTGTCTTAGTTTTTGTATTGCTGAGAAGACTTAAGTCTATCAAAGCTGGTCATCGCACAAGGTTGCTGTTACCATGTATAATGGTCTCCCGGTTCTGCTCACTTAAGTAAAGGTTTCTTAAGGGCTGGAAAGACATGGGCATGTTAGTAGATGGCAGAAAAGGAGACAGCACAGAGAGAGAGAGAGAGAGAGAGAGAGAGAGAGAGAGAGAGAAGATAAGTGAGAGAGTGGGATGACAGTAGGAACAATCTGTTGGAGATAGGATGGAACTGGATTGCTTGTGTAGGTAGAGGGGACTGCCTTGGCAAAAACAGGGCCACCTCTGTGTGAGATGGGTGATGGAAGAGCCGGTAGCAGAAGACAAGCCAGCAATATGAAAAGAAGGAGCTCTCTGAGAATGGCCTCAATTTTTTAAGTAATATATGAAGCAAAGTTCTCAGCTGAGAGGGTGGGAGAAGAGGGAGCCACAGAAAGTTTCAAGAGGGATGGAAAGGTTTGGAAGAACCACTATGGAGAGCAGGATAGTGAGTTGATAAGGTATTCCCAGAACCCTGCACATGGTAAATGTTTAATTAATGTATACTGAATGACTTTTTAGTATTAATTGATCTTATTTTAAAATTTTAACAGGAGAACAGTAAACTTTATTAAAAAAAGGAACAAAGAGAGGGACAAGGGATCAAAGACAGGATAAACAGGAAGAGACATAAGCAATTGAGAAAGAAGAAAACTCATCAGATTATTAGGCAAACTAAACTTTTGTTATATCTAGCCATACATCTGGGGTGAAAATCTGAGCAGTCACCATCTTCTGACTTGCCTATGAAATTTGATTCACCAAAGGGTTATTAAACTTAAGCAATGCAAGAAACGTTATCAAATGCTGGAGGTACAAAGAAAAAAAAACCAGAATCTCTGCCCTCAAGGAGCTCACTGTCTTGCAGTATTGCTACACAGATAATAATACAATGCAAACTGAGGAGGAAGAGAGGAAGCACTAATAACAAGGGTTAACAGGAAAGGCTGTCTGGGGGACAGCTTCCTCCAAGGCTTAAATCAGGGACCAAGATATCTTAAGCTTGGAATGTCCTCACCTGTAAAATGGGGATAATACTCACAAGTCTCCACCTCCTCTTAGGATTACCAGGCAGGCTCAAATGAAATCATGAATGTTGTTAACATTTGAAAAGTAAGGTAAACCAAGGCACAAAGTTCCAAGAATGTTCAATTTATTGGGACAAGAAATTACCAAAGGGGTCTCTTGATTCCTCAGTCAGCCAAAAAGACCAACAGGTAGGTCTTACCAGCCTTAATATAGTTTTGGGAAGTACAAGAGAACAAATAACAGGAAGCAGCACAGATGGAAAACAACATGATTGGTTACAACATCTGAAGTAGCATAGGTGCAAAAACAATAGGATTGGCTAGACGTTTGGGGCTAGCAACAACTCCCTCCTTCCCCAAGGGGGGTGTGGGGTGTCAAGAAAGCCTGACTGAAAGTCCTGCTCGTTTGCTGAACAGAGATAACAAGACTTCTAGTTACCCACCTGCATTCCATAAGGTTATTGTTAGTTAAGATAACAGATCTCCCTTAATGGTACCTGGGTATGCAAGGCTGTATGGAGATATAATTTATTTCTTTGAGTTAAGGTGATTTATAAAAACACAGCTAAATTTAAACTCAGAGAGAGAAAACTGAACTTCTGAACTTGACTCAAAGAGTTAAGCAAACATGGCACGAGCAGCTAAAGAATAGAATCAATTACAGAACGGAATCAAAATATAAAAACCAAAATCAATATCTGGCTTTCTCAATGTGCAAATGTCTTGGTTGTTTGTTGTTCAGTCCTTTCAGATTCTTCGTGACCCAATTTGGGGTTTTCTTGGCAGAGATACTTCAGTGGTTTGCCATTTCCTTCTCCAGCTTATTTTACAGATGAGGAAACCGAAAGCAAATGGGGTTAAGTGACTTGCCCAGGGTCCCAAAGCTAGTAAAGTGTCTGAGGCCACATTTGAACTCAGGAAAATGAGTATTCTTGACTCCAGCCAGGCCTTTTTCTATGTACCATATATATATGTTTAGTAATTCAATTCAATAAATCTTAAAAGTCTACTATGTGCTAGACACTGTGCTAAGCTTTAGGTGTCGAGTACATAGATAATTCTAGAGTCTGTGTGGTACTTAAGTTATACCACACAATGGACATTAGGCATTTAATCCTTTTTCTTTTTTTCAAATAAAACTATGGAATTAACTCATTTTTAAAAGTTCAGCCAATGTGGCAGGCTAGCCCACAAGCCTCCCCAGATGGTATGTCCTGGTCACCTGTGGTCAAGATACCTGATCGGAGGGGGGGCTTCTAATAAAACCTTTTCCAAAATTAGGTCTGCTATCTCGGTGCAGCAACGCCGGCGGGGCGCTCAGCAAAACTTGGGGCGCTGCTATTATTCGGCTGTCATTCTCCCACCCTCTTTCCCCAGGAGCTAATGGAATGGCATGAGAACCAACTGCCCCCTCCCGCCCCCGTCCCCAGGGCCGGACACTCGGGCCCCGCTCTCTCCGACGGCCGGCCCGCGGGGCCCTCTCGCAGCCCTTCCTTCTGCCAGCCCCGCCGGGCTCTGGGGAGGGCCAGCCCCAAGGGGCAGCGGAGACGGCTCCAGCCCTCGGCAACCTCATCCCCGCACCAGCTCGGAAGGGCGCAAGCCGCTAGGGCTCCCCGCCCCGCCCCCCCTGGCTCCGCCGGAGGACTTTAAAGCTGGGGGTGTCCCAGTCCAGCAACACCCCAATTCCCAGGGCGCCGCTCCTTTCACCCCCGACCCCGGGCTCCTTTTTTCTGAGGGTCTCCCTCCCCAAAGCCCAGCTGACTATCCCCCCTGCTCTCAAGGACACCCCGAAACCTGCACCTTCCCCCTGGAGTGGGGCCCAGGCCGCCGCTGCCTCCTGGCCTCCCCACGCGCCTCCAGCCGCCGCCGCCGCCACAACTCCGCGCTCAAGAGACCCGCCACTGGGCAGCTCTCGGGCCTAGATCACCCGGGAAGGAGGGAGGAATGCGCGGAGAGGGGCGGGGCGGGGCGGGGCGGGCGCGGGAGCGAGGCCTCGACCAATCAGCGGAAGGGGGCATAGGCTGATGTGACGGCGAATCGCGCGAGCACTGGGAGCGAGGCTATTGGCGTCATGTGATGCCCGCGCCCTAGGACTGGTCAGTGGACTCTCCGGACGTTGGCGCTAGCGATGGGGGAGGGGGCGGAGCCCGGCTGTTGCTTTCGGCGTAGGTCGAATTTGGTGCTAATCCCGGGGACTGATCCCTTACCCCCACCCCTCATCCTCCCAGTCCGCTGGCTGCCGGAACACGTGTAGGAAAGGGTGGGAGAGCTGCCACGCACGGGTCACCTTTGACCTGGGAGAGCAGTGCGTGGCAGACCGTCACCCCCCACCCCAGCTGCCTGGAGGACAGGGTGGGGAGTGCTAGAGTTGTTCTCCGGGTTTGATCCCAGCTCCGGTGGCTTACCACTAAATGGGTCATCCTGGACTTGTTTCCTCTCCCAGGGTCTCTAGTTTCCTCTCCTGTAAATTGAAGGGGCTGGTGGTGACCTCTGAGATCCCTTCCAGCCATAGATCTATGATTCTCCTTTAACATAGCTCCACAAATGGAGCCCCGCCCCGCCCCGCCCCTCCAAATTCTTAGTGCAGTTTTAAACTTTAATCCATCCTCTTTATTCAGGTGTCAACTTTTGAGCTTCCCAAATCCTGGATGGATCTGACCATTTGTCCCGTCCTATCAGTCAGTCATTGCCCAATGTGACTATTTACTGTGTACAGTTGTACAGTGTTCTCTTGGTTTTGCTCACTTCACTCAGCATCAGTTCATATAAGTCTTTCCAGGTTTTTCTGAAGTCTGCTCATTATTTCTTATAGCACAATAGTATTTTATCACATTCATATACCACAGTTTGTTCAGCTATCCCACAATTGATGGGCATCCCCTCAATTTCCAATTCTTGACCACCACAAAAAGAGCTACTATAAATATTTTTGTACATGTGGATACTTTTCCCATTTTTATGATCTCTTTGGGATACAGCCCTACAAGTAGTATTGCTGGGGTATCAGTATGTTAGAATTCCTTATCTTTTCCTTCATGTGTTATATCACATTTATTTTTGTATGCATTGTTTCTCTCCCTGCCCACCCCCAGTGAAGTGGGCTCTTAAGCTCTTAAGCATAGAAACTATTTTTCTTTTTGTCTTTGTCTTTGTAGAGCCATCATCCAGAATGGGGCCTTAATGTGGTAGGTAGGTGCTTAATGTGGATTAAATTGTTTTGAATCCAGTTGAATCTTGAAGCACTCTTTCTCAGTCTCCTTGCTGTGAATAACGGTTATCCTTCTAATAACCTATCTTCTGAGCACAACAGAAGGGGGGTAATTTGTACTTCCTTTTTCTTCTATCTAGTTCGTTTGAAAAACAAACACAAAACCAAAACATAGATGTGTGGAAAGAATGCTGCACTATAAAGAGATCTGTGACATTGGAAAAATCAGGTCTTTTTCTAGGCCTACCTTTCCTCATCTATAAAATGAAGGGAGTTGAATTAGTTGATCTCTGAGAAGGAACTGTAGGAAGAAAGGTGAGCTATCAAGAAATACCCCTAAGGACAGGTGTTAAACACCGTCATGGAAGAAATAATTTGAAAGAGCTATTGGAAATCTGCAGAAAGGCATTGCAAGAGTACATTAATAGCTGGTGTGGCGCCCAATTAAAGTTAATGAAAAAAGACTTGTAGAAAAGAGTCTGGAAAACAGCATATTAATAATTCTAGACTTCGTTACAGACCTAAAGCAAGAAGTTAAAGTTACATACGGAGTCAAAATTATACAGGGAGTCAGAACAGTTCAAAGGACAAAATAATCACAATCTTTACTATAATGGCTTGAGAAGTAGGCATAACAAAGGTGAGAGAGAACCTCTGAAGAGGGATGTGGAAGATTTCTGGTCATAAGAAGTACAACACAATGACAATGCAAACTAGAGGAACCCAGAAACAAGAAGGCTGCAGACCACTAATAAATGATTATGTTATGTCAAAAGATATGTCAAAGGAAGTGACTAAAACTTTGAAAATGTAAAGTGGCAGGACCAGACAAAATTCCTGACTTGTTCAAACACTTCACAGTGCTGATTAAGCAAGGTACATTACAATCCATGGTAAATAGAAGTATGTATAGAATAATTACACACACACACACACACACACACACACACACACACACACACACAATACACTTATTTGTGTCTAATGGTAGCCATCTCTAGGGCTGGGACAGGTGGAGGGGAAGGAAGGGAAAAAAAAGTGTCATGTATTTGAAAGGAATAGCAAGTTGTGCATAGTAGATTTGCAATTTCATGATCGATCATCTTTTTATTGTATTATTTTTTTATTGTATTATGCTATGGAAATGCTTGTTTTATTCCATAAATTAAAAAAAAAAGAATGAAGCAATCCCTACTTGCAGCGAGCCTACACAGGTTGAGGTATATATCATCCCTGTTGTCCTACTAGAGTTGTACTAAAATGATTTCAGTGAACCTTCAGAGTATGAGCTTATATCTTAACACTTTTGTTCAACTAGAAAGAGCCATTATTTTATCCACCTATTCAGTGGTCCATAGAACACTGAATATAAAAAAATTAGGTTAACGACTTGTCCCAGTACCACTTCTATCTCAATCCCATTGCGTGGATTCCCTTTTGAGTATTGACCCCAATTGCCAACAAGCCAGCAGAGGAAACAGACACAGGAAAAACTGCAGTTTATTCACTCAGAGTGTGACACACTCCATCAGTAGATTATGGACATGTGTTTCTGTTTCAGTTTGGCAGTTTCTCATTAACCATTCCTTAGGTGAGACAAAGAGGAGATGTGTTCTTTAGTCAGTACAGAGGGAATGTATATTTGCTAGGATGCTTATCATTTGTTACAAAAGAAGGAATGTGTTCTTATTAGCATAGCTATTCACAGCATATCGAAGAAAATCATATATCACCTGACAGACAAGACATTTGCATGAGCTATCAAAGATATTCTTTGCACAATAAAACCTTTTACAGCAATTAGAGGCAGAAAGGAAACAATCAAGGAAGCCAGCCTGTAGTATGTGCTAAGGCAAATACATAGTAAAATGGCAAATGTAGAACAAAATGGAGTTAGTTATGTTGTCTCCCAACAGGAAATTCTTAGCTCTCAAAAATCTACTTCTGACAACCCTATCAAAAAAGTTGAGGACGCAGATAATTACAATGACAGCAATATGTAACAATAGGAAAGATAAGAATAAGCTTAATATCTTACACTTGAAGATTGCTTATACAAACCTACAGAAGATGACCTTACACCTGAATGCCTTTATTCGGTTACAGAAGGGTGTTATTTTATCAACTTGTGCCACAATTCATAGAATATTTAACGTAAAATAACAATAGCAAATTATTGATTTTTCCCTAGGACCGATTCTATCTGAACTCCAGTGAAAAAGGTAAGAATGAGATGAATATTAATATTAATAATGATGATGAATAATGGAATCAAAAAACCTTCTCTGGGTTATATCCATGTTAAGTAGACCACCAATAAGTTGACAAAAAATAAAAATAAAATAACTGAAGTTATACTAATTTGTTTACAGAAACAGAGAACTTGGTGGTAGGTATTCAAGACCATGTCACTGCTACCAAAAGGTGTGGAGAGTCTCCTTAAAGGAGCTCAGACTTATTGGTCAGTGCAGATTATATAAGGAAGTGGTGGTTGAAAAATGAAAATAAAAATTTAAGAGCAACATTTTAAATAGCTATCATGCTGATTTCTCTTATTCTCCAAGCTATGTGGAATTAAGCGTTTTCAAAATATAGACATTCAGCAGAAGAAATCAAAACAATGTGGAAACAGGATGAGGTACCTATTATCATCCCCATTGTCTTTTCTGCTACTGTGGTTGTCTTGAAAATGCTTTCAGTTAACGTATGAAACATGAAATTACATCTCTATACTCTTATTCAGGTATAAAACCCCCACCATTTTATCCACCTTCACAAAAGTTTGCAGAACACAAAGCATAAAAGAATAATAGGGTGGTGAATTAGATAATAAGCAATATCTCCTGACATTTACATAGTACTTTAGGGTTGAGAAAGTGCTTTATATACAGCACTAAAGCTAAAATTAGTAAAACTAAAAAAACTAAACTTTATGACTAAAACAATGTAAATGAGGTCACTAAAATGAAGCTGGACTCTGAGTAATGGTAACAATGAGGATCCTAGAAAAGAGATAGGGAAACAGACCTCCTCCTTCTTGGCAAAGAGGTGGGGGACTATTAGTATGGAATATGATATAAATATGTGAAATCATAGCTTAGCATTCAAGTTATTGGAATCTTGAGGACTCTTTTTCCAAGTATAAGCTTTGGGCATTTTTGTCAGGAGAGGAGCCATAATTCACTCTTTTGGTATGTTCGTGGATATTGCAATTTCATTGGTGTAGGTTCTCAGCCAGGAACATGGTGGGAAATGCTTAGTAATTGGCTTTCCCCCCCACCTGCTGCCAAAATGGACCCTTGACACACTTTTAAGTTTAATCTGCATTATTAACATTTTTTTCCATCTCTTTCTTAAGTCTAGGCCAAGTAACATAAATCAAACCTTGGTTTGTAGACTTTGCTGATTGCAGAGGTGTAAATGCTTATGTTGAAAATTTAACAATTGGCTCTTGTGAACTCCAACACACTACTGATACTCCCTCCACCAATGCATATCTACACATTTTCAGCCCATGTAATTTTTGTCTGTGTTTTATCAAAAATTCTCCATAAAATATTAACCCAAAGTGCTGGATGACAGTCTTCCTCCTTTAATGTTTAAGCTCCTTGGGGACAAGACAAGTCAAGCACTTATTAAGCACTTCTCATTTGGTGGCAAGTACTGGATTGTTTCATTTTTGTCTTTACCTAACACTGGAAACAGTTCCTTTAACATGTGACTTTGGTCATGTTACCTCCTTGATCTGTACAGCAAGATAGCCGTTATTCAATTAGTAAGCCCAAGGGAGCTTACATTAACTCAGAGAGAAATATCTGAGTTAGGTATGATGTGGTTCAAACTACTTCAGTTGTTAAGGCACACATTCTGGCTACTCGGTTCTTAGCAGGACTTACTACTCGGAGCAAGCTCGAGTGACAGTCCCCACTCCCAATATGTCCCATATACTTCAGCACACTTGATTTGGAAGTGATCTTTTTTAACCTCTGGAAATGGAAGAGTTCCAATTTAATATAGGAGATTAAAGGAAATATTAGTCAAATATTAAAACAGTAAACATTAGACACACACATATATATACATATATATGTACATACACACGTGTGTGTATGTGTGTGGGGTGTGTGTGTGTGTGTGAGAGAGAGAGAGAGACTTGTTCCCATTCTTTAGGAGTATTCTACTATCTCAGATCCTTACCATAGTACAGATAGTTTCATTCACTTATGTATGCTATAGCATGGAATTTTTCTACATAAAATAAAAGTAAAAATGAAAAGAGACAAATTATTCCTTTGTGGAGACAGTCATCACCATCTCTTTCACCCAATACTCTTTCACATTGCTTTCTAGATCTTAAGTGCATGTGGAGAAATCTGGAGAGCACATAACCACACTTGTTAAAAAAAAATGGGGAAGGATAATTCAATCAGTCAACAAGCATTAAGTGCTACTGTGCTAAGTGTTGGGGAGATAAAAAAGCCCTCCAAAAGCTTAAGCATGGCCTCTGCCTTTAAGGAGTTCACATTCTGATTGGAGAGACAACACACATATAACTCTGTACCTGTAAGATATATAAAGAGCGGATGGGAAAGGACTCTCTGTAGAAGGTAGGATTTGCGCTGAATCTAAAAGGAAGCCTGGAGGTAGTGATGAAGAGGAAAAAAATTCTAGGCATAAGGCACAGCCATTGAAAAGGCACAGAGTTTGGAGAATGAATGTTGTATACAAGGAACAGCAAGAAGGAAGATATTGTGGACCATAAAGCAAGGGAAAAGAGTCACGTTTAAGATGACTAGAAAGATAAGAAGGATAAGTTTTTGAAGGGCTTTAAAAGACAAATAGAAGATTTTATATTTGATCCTGGAAGTGACAGAGAGCCACTGGAATTTCATTGAGTAAGGAGTAACAGACTGTACAAAAATCACTTTGGCAACTAAGTAGAGGATGGATTGGAGTGGAAAGAGACTTGATTCAGGGTGACCCACCAGCGGGCTGTTGCAATATTCCAGGCATAAGGGGATGAGGGTCTGCATAAGAGTGGTGACTGTGGTTGGAGAGAAGAGGTTATATGTAAGGAATGTTGTGAAGGTAAAAGCAACAGAACTTGGCAACAGATTGGAATGAGTGTGAGAGAGGAGTCAAGGATGACACCAAGGCTGCAAGCCTGGGTGACTGGGGGCATGGTGATCCTCTTGACAGTATTAGGGAAATTCAGAAGAGGGAAGGGTTTGGAAGAGAGGAGTAAAGTTAATGAGTTCTGTTTTGGTCATGTTGATTTAGAGATTCTTATGGAGCATATAGTTCGAGATACCCAAAGGGCAGCTAGTGATGCAAGACTGGGAGCTCAGGAGGAAGACTAGAGACAAATAGATCTGAGACTCATTTGCAGAGAGATGATAATTGAACCCATGGGAACTGATGAGATCACCAAGCAAGATAGTATAGACGAAGAGAAGAGCCTTTGGGGACACCCAGTTAGTGAGCATAGTCTGGAAGCAAGTCCAGCACAGGAGACAGAAGAGTGAGTATGTAGGTAGGAGGAGAACCAGAAGAGAGCAGTGTCAGGAAACTTAGAAAGGAAACAGTGTATAGGAGAAGAGGTTGATCAACAGTGTCGAAGGCAGCAGAGAGGTCTAGACCAGTGAGCATAAAGAAAAGCCACTGCATTTGGCAACTAGAAGATCATTGGTGGCTTTGGAGAGAGCAGTCAAATGATGAGGTTGGAAGCCAGATGACAGAGGGTTTCGAATTGACTCCCCCCTACACCTCCCACGAGGTTTATGGGTTAAAGGGAAAACAGCTACAAAGATGTCATTTCCTCACTGCCAAGAGATATCCTGACTATATCCCACTGATGTTCACTTATTATGCTACTGTTTCCTCTGTCTCAGGCCTTCATGCTATTATTTCAGAAGAGGGAAGAAAGCAATGGAAAAAGATGACACCAAACTCGGATTGTTGCTGTTCAGTTGTGCATGACTCTTTGTGTTCCTGGGGACCATAGCATTCCAGTGCTGTCCATGGGGTTTTCTTGGCAAAGATACTTGGGTGGTTTGCCTTCTCTAGTGGATTAAGGCAAACAGAGCTTAAATGACTTGCCCAGGATCACATAGCTAGTAAGTGTCTGAGGCAGGATTTGAATTCAGGTCTTCCTGACTCCAGGCCCAGAGCCTGAGCCACTAGGCTGCCTCCAGAAGAACACTCCCAAGTGCTACTTGAACCAGATTAAATATAATTGATAAATATTTAGCAAAATAAAAAAAATTATAAAACATAATGTTAATTTGTGATTTTCTAAGTCAGTATGTGCCTGAAGGGATCCCTACATTCAGTTTAGTGGCAGTCTTTTTTTTTTAATTAAAATTTTTTTTAAAGTGTAGGATAAGGTGCCTTGCTTGTCAACATCCGTTTCTTTTGTTTTCATTTGTGCATTTTTACTTTATTTTTTGAATTCATTTAGTATTTTATTTTTCCTCAGTTGCACTTAAAAACTATTTTTTGACATTTGCTTTTAAAACTTTAGCGTTCCAAATTTTCTCCTTTCCCCCCCTCCCTGCCCCACCTCATTGAGAAAGCAAGCAATTCAATATAGGTTATACATGTATAGTCATGCAAAATATATCCGTAATAGTCATGTTGTGAAAGAAAACATAGACCAAAAAAAAAAAACCCTCAAGAAAAATAAAGTAAAAGCGTATTCAGATACCATCAGTTCTTTCTTTGGGGATGGATAGCATTTTTCATCATAAGTCCTTCAGAGCTGTCTTGTATCATTGTATTGTTAAGAATAGATAAGTCATTTACAGCTGATCATCTTACAATATTGCTGTTACTTTGTACATGATACATTCCACTTTGCCTCAGCTCATGTAAGTCTTTCCAGGCTTTTCTGAGAGCATCCTGCTTATCATTTCCTACAGCATGATACTAATCCATCACAATCACACAGCACAATTTATTCAGCCATTCCAAGATTGATGAGCATTTCCTCAGTTTCCAATTCTTTGCCACCAGAAAAGAGCTGCTATAAAAATTTTTGTACATATATGTCCTTTTCCTTTTTTTTTAATCTCTTTTGAGATACAGACCTAGTAGCAATATTGCTGGATCAAAGGGTATGCAAGGTTTCACAGCCCTTTGGGCATAGTTCCCAGTTGCTCTACAGAATGGTTGAATCAGTTCACAACTCCACCAGCAATCCATTAATGTCTCATTTTTCCCACATCCCCTCCAATATTTGTCATTTTCCTTTTCTGTCCTATTAGCCAATCTAACAGTATGAGGTAGTACCTCATTTGCATTTCTCCAGTCCATAGTGAGTTAGAGCAATTTTTTCATATGGTTATAGATAGTTTTAATTACTTCATCTGAAAACTGTTCATATCTTTTGATCATTTATCAGTTGGGGAATGACTCTTTTATAAATTTGATTCAGTTCTCTATAGTTCGAGAAATGAGGCCTTTATCAGAGAAACTTGCTTCAAAATTATTTTCACATTTACTATTGCTAACTGTATTTCCCTCCATCATATTCCCCCCTATTTATTCTGTTCTCTCTTTCCTTTCACCCTGTCCCTCCTCAAAAGTTTTGTGCTTCTGACTACCCCTCCCTTAATCTGCCCTTCCTTCTATCACCCCTCCCTCCCTTCTCTTATCTCCTTCCCCTCCTGCTTTCCTGTAAGGATATATTTCTATACCCAATTGTGTGTATGTTATTCCGTCTTTGAGTGTATGATGAGAGTTAGGTTCCCTTATTCCCCTTTTCCTCCCCCCTCTTTCCCTCTACTGTAAAAGCTTTATTTTTGCCTTATTTTATGTGAGATAATTTACCCCATTCAACCTCTCCCTTTCTTTTTCTCCTAGTACATTCTCTCTCACCTGTTAATTTTGTTTTTTTAAATATCATCCCTTCATATTCAACTCACATCTGTGCCCTCTGTCTGTATATATTCCTTCTAACTGCTCTAATAATAATAAAGGTGTTATGAGCTACAAGTATCCTCTTCCAATATGGGGATGTAATAAGTCCCTCATGATTTCCCTTTCCTCTTTACCTTTTTTATGCTTCTCTTGAATTCTGTATTTGAAGATCAAATTTTCTATTCAGCTCTGGTCTTTTAATCAAAAATACTTGAAAGTCCTCTATTTCATTGAATATCCATTTTTCCCCTGAAGGTTTATACTCAGTTTTGCTGGGTAGTTGATTCTTGATTGTTATTCTAGCTCCTTTGCTCTCCAGAATATCATGTTTCAAACCCTCCAATCCTTTAATGTAGAAGCAGCTAAATCTTGTGTTATCCTTTGTCCTGACTGTGGCTCCACAATGTGGCTTCCCTATCCTGAAACTGTTTCTTTCTGGCTGCTTGATGTGGGAGCTCTGGATTTTGACTATAATATTCCTGGGAGTTTTCATTTGGGGATCTCTTTCAGGAGGTGATAGGTGAATTCTTTCCATTTCTATTTTACCCTCTGGTTCTAGAATCTCAGGGTAGTTTTCCTTGATAATTTCTTGAGAGCTCTAGGCTCTTTTTTTTTTTAAATCGTGGCTTTTAGGTTGTCCAATAATTTTAAAATTATCTCTCTTGGATCTATTTTCCAGGTCAGTTTTTTTAAAATGAGATTTTCATATTGTCTTCTATTTTTTCATTCTTTTGGTTTTGTTTTATTGTTTCTTGATTTCTCATAAAGTTATTAGCTTCCATTTGCTCAATTCTAATTTTTAAGAAATTATTTTCTTTAGTGAGCTTTTGTACCTTTTTTTTTCCCATTTGGCTAATTCTACTTTTTAAGGAGTTTTTTTTCTTTAGTGAATTTTTGCGCCTTTTTTTCCATTTGGCCAATTCTGCCTTTTAAGGCATTCTTCTCCTCATTGGCTTTTTGTACCTCTTTTAATTCATCTGTTTTTGGCCTCATATGTTTTTTTTTAAGTGTTATTTTCTTCAGTATTTCTTTTGGGGTCTCCTTTGCCAAGCTGTTGACTTGTATTTCATGATTTTCTTGCATCACTCTCATTTCTCTTCCCAGTTTTTCCTCTACTTCCCTTACTTGCTTCTCAATGTGCTGCTTGCTAAAGTTTGTGACGTATGTTGAACAATTCTTATCCACTTTGTTTTTCTAGTGCATGTAGTTAGAACAATCTTTCTTGGCTTTAACTGAAGAGGCTTTGTTGCATTTCTGTGAAAATCTACAGAATCCAACCAAATGTTCACATGGACTTGTGGCCAACCTGTGGCAGAGCATTCCAAGCTTGTATTGATCTGATCAGTCACAGTGGGACACACTGTAACTAGACTCTAACACAGTGATGTCATTTTGGGCCTCTTCAAGAACAAAGGAAAGCAAGAGGTCATCTGTGAACAGTAATGTTGGTAAGAAATCCTCCTTTTGATTGTACTATGATCAGGATATTCTCTATGACATCATCAAATACATTATGTCTTTAACACCTTACTGGCTGTCAATGATCAGCATATTGTTGAACAAAGATGTCTTGGCTCCCATATCTGTTAGAAAGTCTTATATAATGACCTACATGTTGGAGCCATCTTGTCTGAGGAAAGCCTTCAAGGCTATATTTTGTTCTACCATGGAAAATACTTTCCTTGAAATCAATAAACGATAAACATAGAAGGACTTTGTGTTCTATACACATCTCATGCACTTGTTTGACTGTGAAGATAGGGTGTGCTGTAGAAAACCATCTATGAAAGTCTGTCTCTTCCCTGCTTATGTGTTCATTAAAGATGCCCTTAGATTAAGCAAAGAGAATCTTAATTGATGAATCTTGTGTCTTAATGACAGTGGGTTAAAATGACCAAAACTTAAATGTGAACTCAGGCTAACTTTCTTTTCGGGGGGGGGGGGACAACTGCTATACATGCACTGATAAGAAATATATTTTATGACTTTCAGATTCTGAGTCAAGTGATAGGAGGCAGAGCCTTTTAGTGGTTACAGTGTTAAACTTGGACTGAAGAATACTCAGGTACAAATCCTTCCTCTGATACTGTTAACAGGATTTCTACTGAGCTGGTCTCTTAACTGGAGAATACTCAGAGCTGCACAAAGCAGGCCTAGAGGTGGGGAGTGCCAGGAATCAGTTTCAGAGTGAGGAATGTTTTCCTAGCTGAAGTAAAAGCACAGGTTATATACTTAAATCACGAGAGGGGAAGAAGACAGGTGGATTACAAACAATCATTTTGTGGGTTCTTGAGAGAAATGCACAAATCACACAAACGACAGTTCTGGAGTCAAGTCTTTGGGGATTGTGACCACCTTCCGCTAGGGTACAGAACCAGAGCTCTGTGAGGGACCCAAGTTCTACAATCTTTGATTCACTTCACTTAGGGTCCTGTGATTGTGAGCATTGTCAGAGTTTTGATTAATCAGTTTAAGCTGTATTGTGAGCTCTGATGTCCAAGCCAGAAAGGTAGCTCTTAAGAAAACTAAATTATTAATATATTCATTATAATTTATAATTCCCTTCTCAATACTTTCTAGCTATGTGACCATGGACAAGTCACAAGGACAGGGCAGAGATGGCTGCTGACATATACTTTCTGGGCACTTACTAGGCCTTTCCTAGAGAAAGGCTCTTCTCTATGGGGAAGCTATATGTCATTTCATATAGATGTTTAATCTTGTTGTTTGGTCATTTCAGTTGTGGCCGACTCTTTGTGACCCCATTTGGAGTTTTCTTGGCAGAGATACTGGAGTGGTTTGCCATTTCCTTCTCCAGCTCATTTTACAGATAAGGAAACTGAGGCAAACAGGGTTAAGTGACTTGCCCAGGGTCATACAACTGGTAAATGCCTGAAGTCACATTTGAACTCAGGTCTTCCTGCTTCCAGGCCTAGTGCTCTATCCTAGTGCTTCCACCTAGGTGCCTTGTTTTATATGACTCATACCCTAATTTATATCTTTTTTTCCCTTGTGGATCATATTCAAAATTGGGCTGTACCTACTAGTCTTTCTCAGTGTTCTTTATAAAACATTTGGTGATCTGAGATATAGAGGCAAAAGTAGTCAATGACTCCTTGCTTATTAATTTAAAGAGGGCCCTATAAATATAGTTGATACCTTGACATCCTTTAGAAGCTTTAAAGTTTTGACTTAAATAAAGGGATAAAAGCACATGGTAGTGATGATTCTGGATGTCTACCCTGACTTGGAAGCTGAATTATAGGTTTTGGAATTCAGAAATAGCATATCATTTTAACTTCTACCACACCAGGGTAGATGATAGAAGTTCCCTGATCTTGTTTTATGGAGAAACTGGACAAATGATTTTTGGAAGGGGTTCCCTCTGGGGCTGTAGTGGAGCTGGGAACATAACTCAGTCACTGGCACATAACATTTCATGGTCAAATGCAAAATACAGGCAGTAAATTTCAACCCAAAGTCATAAACTGGCCACTTAGTGACAGTGACTCACTGATGATATCTGGGGTGGCCTTGGGTTTGAGGAGTAGCATTTAAATTTACAGCAATTACTAGTATCACATTGATTTCTGTCTTTATGGTTTTTGTTTGTTTTGGCTTCCCCCCCCCCCCCGCCCACCCTGGGCTTCAATAGACTTTTCAGAAGAGTTAGATGAGCCTGTCAATGGTTAAAGCACTGGGTCCTTCATTTGGCATATTTTCTCCCACATAAGTGAAGCCACTTATTTGAGTTACTGAGAGGTGGTACATAGAGGGGGTGGCAGGGGAAACAAGGGAAGGAAACAAAAGGCAAGGAAGTAACAGAACCAGGGATAGAACTGTAACTGGAGGAGGGAGCCCATGATGATTTTGAGAGAGGCTGCCCCAGGACTTAGAGTATTATTACACTTAGATCTTGGCACTTTTCAGGTTCAGAGGGCTGGGCCTCCTGCATCCATCCTTACTCCAAGCATTGGGGCACCTGAAGAGGCCTGGTGTTTTATAGGGAGGGGTAGTGTCTCAATTAAATAAGTTTGATTAGATTCACACCTCTGGCATCACAGGCTCCTGTGGTGGCATCTATTAGCGGGGTATTACATGTTTCCAGCATGGCAGATTTCAGAAGAAGAAAAGGGTGGCAGTTAGGAGAAAGGGGTATGACTATGGCAGAGGCAGCCTGTGGGAGAAAAATTAGGTCCAGAAAATGAGGGGTTTTTATACACTATGTTAGTCTTTGAAATATAGATTGTTATCCTTTAAGTGTTGGGAAGCAGTGGCACATAGTGGATAGGATGCAGACCTGGAGTCAGGAAGACTTGGGTTCAAAATTTGCTGAAAGCCTCAAGCTCTTCTCTAAAAAGATGCTATATAGATGGATTGTGATCTGCCACTAGTGGGGAGAGTCTCCACACTGTGAGTTCCCAAATGGATCAAATCATAGGTCTCTGCCACATTGATGTAGAGAAGTATGAGAGTTACATTTTCAAAGAACCATGGAGTCACAAAATGAGATATTGTTCACAAGGTACTGTGCAGACCTTAAAGCGTTAGACAGATGTTAGCTCCTGTCACAGAATCTCCAACTTGGAAGGGAGCTCTAATTCAGCCTGGATCTACATAAGTATCTTTTTCAACAGTGGTATCAAACCCAAATAGAAATGTGGACCACTAATCCTACAAAAAGATCCCTGCAGACCACATATTGACTTAGAAAACCACACATTTTATATACATAGATACACACATACACACACACACATACATATATATAATTAATATATCAATGCATTGAAATCAGATGGGAAGTACATTTTAATTTGTTTATTTTGTTTCAGACGACACTCAGGAGTGTTGCGGACTATACATGGCTTAGGCCACATGTGACACTATTCTACAGTTATCACCGAATTAATAAAGGCAAAGAGGGGTTCCCTCATTCTGCCACCGGTGAGCATGCTAGAAGTGGGATATATTCAGATACCATACTTGTTTTGCCTATTAACTCTTCCCTGATAAGGACTTAAATAATAATAGCTAACACATTGTGCTTAGAGGTTTGCAAAGTGCTTTATACATATTATTGAACTCACTACTACCCTGGCAGCTAACATTTTTATGTTTATATTTGTATTTTGCTATTTTACAGATGAGCAAATTGAGGCTGATGTCAAGTGACCTGCCTGTCACACAGCTCATAAATGTCTATGGTGGGATTTAACGCAGTTCTTCTCAGCTGCAACTTTTATGCCTTATTATTGGCACTACCTAGCTATCTTGATCAATCTCTAGTACAATTAAGCATTTATTAATTATTCAGGGCCATGGGCAGATCACTCAGTTGGACAGTTGCTATTTCCCCAAAGCTCATACATATCTAAGGAGTTTTATTCTCAACTTTTATAGAGCCATTAGTATTTAGCAGCAGGTTTCATTTGCTGAGCTCACCTGGCTCTTGCTTCTGCTTCTATTGCTTGCAGGAACAGGACAGAATAAGTATTTTTCTTGAAGAGCTCAAGGATGAATTTAACTTGAAAACATTTCCCCTTCTGATAATTACTGTTGTGTGAAACAGAAGAAAACATAGTTTCTGGAGCCAGTACCAGATAACTGCCAGAAAGAAACAATATTGAATACCTGAGGAATAGGAACAGTCTTTGTTTTGTCCATCCTCCCTTGGCCAAAAGCAGATTCTGGGTAAAGTGTTTTTAAGACTTTATCAAAGGACCATGCAACAGGATGTTGCATTTGCCTTTATTGGTATTTATATGTGTCACCATACCTGCCATTGGGCTATTCTTGATTGTACAGATATGACTCCTTTACAGGCTCTTTGCCATGCAATCTGCCCACTATCTTTGCTATCTTATCTTACTTCCCCAGCAGCCTCCCCAGGAGTTTAAAGCTATACTATATCACTTGAAGTTGTTTTTGAGGGCATTACTTAAAGCATCTCTTTAGCTGGATGATAATCAAGAACTCCCTCTCTGTAATAAACCATCTTCTCTTCATTTTAGACCTCAAAATGGGCACAAGCTCCTTCTATCTTACAGTCCTCATTGAGATCTCACTCCTCCCAGATGACACTGTCCACCACTGTCCTTTCTACTACCTTCCACCCTTTCTCTCATCTACCTGATTCCTTAGTACAGTAAGAAAAATCCATGTTCCTCACTGTGACTTCCCAAATTCCTTTACTGTTCTCTCTCAGCAACCTCTCCTTTTTATCATCTAATTAAAACCCAAGTGGCCATTCTTTCCTGATCCTCAGGATGTTCTCCCTCCTTTCTCAATGAATTCGGTTCCTGGCTGAGAGTCTGTCCATCCCAACTTTTGCTTTCCTACTAGGAGACTTTAACATACATTTGATCTTTCTAGTACCCTAACTTCCTCATTCCTCAATCTACTCAACTCCCATGATCCACCACTCAAACAGCTATACTCAGGGCTGGCCATATCCCTGAGCTTACCTTTACTCACAGGTGTTCTACTTTCATGGTCAAGAACACTGAAATTCCTTTCTCTGATCATAATCTTCTATCATTTTACCTGCCTTTTTATTCCTCCTCAACTTAGTCTTTATCATCACCATGACCTGAAATATTTCTGCTACTTTTAAAGATCATCACCCTTGCTGTCTACACTCTCCTTCCTAATTTTGATCTCATAGTAGATCAGTTCAACTCTATACTATCTTCTGTTCTCAAATCCTTTAGTTTCTTGTCCTCTTGGCAGCTCAAGTCTTGCCAAACCCCAACCCTGGCTTACTCCTACTATCTTCCTCCTCCACTTGTACTCATACATTGCTGAACAGAGCTCAAGAAAGTGTATTGGGTCCTACAAATTTGTTATCTAATCTCTACTGAGTCTTCACTGAAGAGCTCAGAAGTGAATTCTTCCCTAATTCTTCTCTATACTATTACAAAAATGTCTGTTCTAAAACTTCCCTTCTTTCCTGAAATGTCCCATACCATTCTGTCTCCCATTCTTTCAGTTGAGGACTTTATCTTCTACTTTTCCAAGAAAATCAAGGCCATTCCCCAGAAGCTCTTCTTCCGGTTTTGTTTTTCTTTTCTCATATCCCTGTAAAGTCATCCCCCAACTATTTCTATCTCTAATCTCTGATGAACAGGTGGTCCTTTTCCTTGCCAAGGGCAGCCCTTTTATATACTCTTGATTACTCCTCCAGAAGATTGCCTCAACTATTGTCCCAAGCTACCCACACCCCTCACAATGCAATTATTTCAATCTTTCCCCATCTATTGGCTCTTTCCCTGCTACCTACAGATATGCCCAAGTATCTCATATCCTTCAAAAAAAACCCCTCATTTGATCCTAAACATCTCTACCATCCTCAAGAAGCCTTTCTTACAAAAAGTTATTATCCTATAGTTCTATTCCCTTTTCTCAGCCAAATTCCTTAAAAAAAACTACTTACATTCAGTGCTTCCTCTTTTCTCATTCTCTTTATATCTCACATAATATTATCACTCAATTCAAAATATTCTCTTCAAAGTTGCCAAATTATTTCTTAATTGCCAAATTTAATATTGTCAATCCTTATCCCTCTTTGACCTTTGTAGCATTTGATGCTGTTGTCTGCCCCCTCTTCCTGGATGCTCTCCAAAATGAGTTTTTCTGACACTGCTCTTTCCTGGTTTTCCTCCTATGTAATTGCTCCTCTTCAGTGTTCTTTGTTGTATCATCATTCATTCACTTTTCATTTACTATCCTGGTTCTTCTTCTCTTTTCTCTCTATAATTTCTCACTTGGTCACCTTATTATCTCTGCTAGGGTCAATTATTATTCTATGCAGGTTACTCCCAGGATTCCTATATCCACCACAGTTTATCTTCTCATCATGGAAAGAGTATTGACTAGTATATATATATATACACACACACACAAATATAATACTGAAATATTGTATATTAATAATGCAAATTAAGCTTAAAAGTGTGTTGTGGATATTTTTTTTTCTCAGCTAGTTGTAAAATATTTATCAGCACACTCCTGACCAAAGGGGAGGTTTTTTTTGTGTGTGTGTGTGATCTTGTATTTGGAGAAGTACAAAATAGATTATACAATTAATTCAATGACCCTATTTAAAACAGTGCTTCCTATTAGTCAGTGTAAATTGCTCTAAATACAACTTTATTCATTATGTTTAGCATCCTTATATTTAGCTTTCTCCTTTTTCTCTAAGTGAAGCTATCTTGAAAATAAAGACATTCCTAAAAATTGTGGGTAAACAGCTGTCAGGAATACCATAGAAGGGCTTCCTATACTCCGTGGAAGGTTGGATGAATTTTTTTCCAAAAGTCTTTTCCATCTCCAAATTATATGATTTTATGAATACTTTCTAATGAAAAAGGAAATCATTGAAGTTAGCAGAATATTTTCATATATAGTAATTAAGCCAATGACTTTTGTTTTCCTTTTTTTATCATTTCATCTCTAGCCTCAGTTTCTCACTCCTGTTACATCTTGTCTCAGGGCTACCTACCTTTTCCATTCAGTGAAATAATTTTTACTGGGCTTATTATTCAGCCAAGAAAGTTTAAATTACCTCAGAGCACAATATCTGATTGAACCACCAGGTGTCACTCAAATTTCACAAACGCTTGAGTCGGCCTTGGTTGGTGGCTTTCCCTGTCCATATGTTGGTTATAAATTGGTTTTTTTTTTTAACCCTTTGCTGTGTTCTAATTTAGTTTAGGAGATTAAATGAAATGTTGATCAAATATTAGAATTAGAAATCTACTATTTACATCTGAATTTACTTTGCCAGCTTCTTTCTTTCTTACATTATTTTCACAGGCTCAGATCTTCAAAAGGTAAGAGAGTAAAGTGGATTCTTCTGGGCTATTTTTCCTCAGCTGTTTTAGGCTCTTGTCATATTCATTTAGGTATCAAAATTGGACTTACTGCACAACGAAGCTTGCGACCGTCTACTTCTGTGCTTTTGCTCCCACTGCTCCTTCTTAGAATGTCTCTCTCACCTCTCAAATCATACTCCTTTGAGGACCTGCCATACTATTCCTCATAATTCCTCCCAGCTGAATGGTATCTCTCCTTCTCTGGACTTTATAGCATTCTACTTGTCCCTCTATTATTGAACTTTTGACCTTTTGCCTTGAATTATAGTTTTGGTTTTTTTTATCTCCCCACCTAAAAGATAATGGTCGACCTAAACTGAACAGACTATAGACTCCTTAAGCAAAGGACTATATCTCCCTCATGCTTATACTCTCTGTAATAGCTAGCATAGAGCCTTGCACATAGAAGGCATTCCACTAAGTGCTGAATGAATAAACCACTAGTGAGGCAGTGAGGTATGATTCTGGTTTAGTGGCTTATTTGCTCATTCATTCATTCAATACTTACTGAATGTCTACTATGAACATAGCATTCTGCTAAGCATTTTACCGTATACAGAGAAACATACAAATACAGAAAGCTGTGGCCTTGGGGGGCTCACAGTCTAGTCTGGAAAGTGAGAGAGAAGTAGGAGAAATGAGAAATGTCACAGGGAAGGATATGACTAAGTATCAAATGAGTTGTGTTCTATTCAATTGAGCAAACACTGATTAAGTGCCTTTTATGAGCTAGGATGAAATCGCAAGTCCTTGACATATTGATGTAAATGGAGGCACTATAGTAGGCACTGTGGATACATAGGTGAAAATGAAAGGAGAGTTTATATATTGCCAGGGAGTGACATGACATGTACACAGATAAGTATGATATAATATAGAGTGTGATAGGGGCAAAGAACAAATCTAGGCAGTGTGGTTTAGAGAAATATGAGGAGGGATGGGCAGGGGGATGGTAGATCAGGGAAGGCTTCCTAGAGGAAGAGGAACGTAAGCTGAACTTTGAAGGTAAAGAAGAATTGTGAAAAGTAGGGCTGAGAAGGCAGTGTGTTAC